TCAGGAAGAACCAGCTCTTCCCACAGCCTGATCTTGGACTTTGGCCTCCAGAAGAAGGAGAAACAACTTCAAATTACCCGAAGTGTGGTCCTTTGCAGTGGTGGTCGTTACACAGGACGCGCTCCCCACTGCCCTCCAGTAGGAATCAGAGTGGGACTGCTGAGTGACAGAAGTATATGCTGCTGGCCACCACTGAGACGTTTCACTGCCCAGCGGCAGTGTGAGAGGCTCCAGGCTCCACATGGCCACCCCACGTGGGACGTTGGTCTCTTTCATTATACCCCTCCTGATGTGTGTACGATAGCAGCTTCTTGTGGTTTTAATTTGCATTCCCCAGATTTCAGATTATGCGGAGCATCTGTGATCATTGATTTAAGAACCTTCTAGTGGGTTAGTAAATCTAGGTGTGTCTGTGGATGATTGACATGTGGGCTTCAGAGGGAAAGACCCACCCTGGAGGTGGGCGGCACCAGCCAATACATTTGATGGGATAAAAAGAGAAAGAGGAAGGAAGTCTTCCCCTTTTCTGGAGAAATTCTGGGCTTCACCACTGCCTTTGGATGTTGGTCTCCAGTTCCTGCAGGTTTCCAGAGAAGACCCTTCAGCCTCCAATCTGGCAGTGAGCTTCTAGGCCTTTGACCTTCTTTTACTACTGATCTTCCAGCTCTCCAGGGCACAGGTGACCATTTTGGATTCTTTCGCCTCTGATTCTGCAGTCGGCCACTGAGACTCTTCCACTCCTAATCCTGTGAGGATCCCAATCCTATAAATGCCTTGTGTCACTAAGATATATTTTATATTCCTCTAGTGAGTTCCTTCATTTTTTGGTCATCTGTATATCAGTCAACAGTTTGTTCAAATCTTTTGCCAGTTTCAAAAATTGGATTGTTTCTTCTTATTATTGAATTTAAACTGTTTCTGATACAAGAATATGATCTGCAAATAATTTGTTCCCTTCTGTTGCTTATATTTTGTTTTTTTCATGGTGACTTCTGCACAGCAAAATTTAAATTCTGATGAAGCCCCATTCCTTATTTTTTTTCTCTAATGGAGTTTTTGTTGTCTATCAGAGAAAACTGAGCTCTACCCAAGATCACAAAGATACTGCCTACTTTTTGCAAGAGTTAAATTTTTACCTCTTAAACTGGATTTGTGGTTAATTTTGTATACATATGCAGATTACAAGCCACACTGGACACACACATGCTCTTGGATATTACTGAAAGAACACTTTTAGGGCTGGGGATTTAGCTCAGTGGTTCTGCTGCCTGCCTCCAAAGTGCAAGGACCAGAGTTTGATCACTGGTACCAAAAAAAAAAAAAAAAAAAAAAAAAAAAGAACCATGGATAGATAACTCTTTGAACTGAAATTCAAAGGAATTAGGATTGACACATTAGTATTTTCAATCAAGTTTTTAAAAAAATTTTTTACAGTGAAAATGATTGCACTATTTGAAATGAACTATTCTTTCCATATGAACTGTACTTCCTGACTTTGAACTAAAGAAAACTTAAGGTAAATGCCCCAGCTACTCTGGGTTGCAGAGTGGGAGGCAGGGAGGCCTGGCGGACATAGGTCCTATCCTCTCTGCCCAGGAAGCTCTGAGCTAACCCACTGAAATCCATGTGAAGGGACAGAGCTCCCGGTGCACAGCTCATACCAGCTCCTTGGCCTGGGGTGGGGTCCTCTGAGGGTCTCTACTTCTTCCCTGGACCTCTGGGGTGCTAGGGTAGCACTGGCCCCTGCCAAGGGAAGGTGTATATTTAATGCAACTCCAGTTTGAATATCAAGTTTCTTGGAACTGGGAAAAAATGATTTTAAAGTCTATATGGAAAAATAAATGTGTATGAATTGTCAAAAATAATGAAAAATGAAAAAACTTTAAAAGGGAAATTTTTCTATTGGATATTAAAATGGCTAAATTAAGTCCTATCATTAAAATGGAATGGAGCTGCTGAGGACACAGTGAATGACACACAACAAGCATCCAGAAATGGACCTGGGCCCAGAAAAGGGGCCATTCACCTCACTGGGAAGGTGAGGTACTTAGTAAAGGAAGTGGTGGCCAACTGAATACAAAAATGAGTTTAAGACAGCTTGCAAATCAAAATGGAAAGGAACCAAGTGAAAATTATGATAATATTAATGAAGGGCAATGGAGGATATTTGTACAACCTTAGAGTATATAGGGCTTTTTGAGCAAGACAGAAGGAAATCTTGATAAATACAGCTTCAGAAAAGTTATGATCTCTACATAATGAAAGACACCATAAACAAATTCTGAAAAATATATCCAGGAAGAAATATATTTTGAAACACATAGAAAAACAAATTCCTGGGCCAGGGATTTAGCTCAGTAGAACCAAATCTGCTTCATAAGCACAAGGTTCTCAGTTCAATCCCCAGTACCAAAAAAAAAAATCTTAACATGCAAAGAGCTCTTAGTATTTCAAATATTTGAAAGCTGTTCTACACAAGAAACAAACAAATCTTTTAAATTTTCATTTGCATTGCTAGTAAAGAAATACCAAAATATCACCTTTTATTTGGACAAAACTATACTGTTAATATTGTAAATTGAATTAAGGCTTCCATAAGCTTGCCTGTATACATGGTAATAGTGATGTTTGGCTCAAGGTGGCCCTGGGCACATAGCGAATTGTAAGCTAGCTTGATGTACGGACAGATACATCCTAACCTAAGGGCACACACTTGTAACCGAGAAACTGCACCTAGCCAGCCAGTCAGGGACTGAGTCACCCAGGTGACCAAAAGCCAAATGCAACAAGCCATTCAGGCATTTCTTCAGTCACTTCTGCTCTTCTGACTATTAATGAAGCCACTTTGTAGGCAGGGCTTTCTGGACTTTTCAGCCAGTCCTGACTGATACCTGAAGGAGAATCCCATCAAATCCAATTAGATCTGTGAAGGTACATTTTTAGTTTGGACTTTAATAGAACCTATGCCAACAGAGTGAGAGAACAGAAAGAAGTCAGAATTGCTCCAACCTTCGTGGGAAGTAACCAGAAGAAATCTAAGGAGATCTAAAACATGTACACCGTTAGACTTTTAGGTGTCCTCCAAAATAAATACCTGAGGGAAAGCCTCAAAAATGCTTCCTGAGTCTCCACTGGCAGTCAACGCAGGCCACAGTCTGAGTGACCAGACCAGTAGTGACCAGGGCTGCCTACACTGTGGTCTAGCCTGGTTGTATGTGGGAGACGAGGAATTCAGTGGGGAGAAGGAACACAGCTACTCATGGTGTCCTGAGGAGATCCCCATGGTACAGTCCTTGGGGAGCAACCAGGAAACTGCAGACTAAGTGTCTGCTTTAAATTTTTGCGTATGACTGGGAAAAGGGTGAAGTACAACCACCTTGCTGCTGTTCTGATGTTACCTGGGATGTTACGGAAAGTGGGTGTGAAGGATATTTCTATTTCACACGTGGCTGCTGTGTGTATTTGAAACAGTGTGTACATACCAGTGTTTACTAAATCTTTCTCTGGAGTAACTGTTGTCCAGTGATCCAGGCAGCTGCTCTGGGAGAAAGAAACCAGTGACTCCGTGCCCAGAGCAAGAGTGCAGTAGGGGCCCAGGACGTCCTTGTTCATCTGTGCTCCAGGCCTCCAGGGGACTTGGAGAGGGTCTTAAAACCACTGGGAGGAGCAGGGAGGGAGCCCCCATGTGCTCCCACTGAGCGCCATCTCTGGGCTGCTGCCTCTGGGGTCCCCTCCCTGGTGAGGCCATGACTCAAACTCAGCAGAGTCCCCAGGAGCTGCAGCCAGCGAGCGGCAGGTGGAGGATGCATAGCAGACATGGCCCTGTGGGGACCCAGAGCAGGCTCTGCAGCTTGCTCAGAACTCAGGGTTCCCTGGGTGACCTGGGGAGGGTTGGGAGGGGATGTGTGTGAGGGAGGGGAAGGCGCGCTGGGTGTGATTGTGTGAATACACATGTGTGTGCGTGCATGAGTTTGGCCTGGGGCTTCAAGTAAATAACTTCTAATTTTCAGTTTCATTTTTATTTTGAATTGTAAAAATGGCTCCAGACGAAAGTGACTGAGGTCAGAGGGCAGGGATGCAAAGTCCAACACGAAGCCTGGAGAATATGTTATGTGCTTTTTAAAATAGAAAGTCCAAGCATAAGGTCCTGAGTTCAATCCCCAGTACCAAAAAAAAAAAAAAAAAAAAAAAAAA